TCCATCCATTCCAGGCAAAACATGAGCACCACTGCTGCTCCACCTGAGCTCGGGCATCTCACCGTCCTCCCAGACCACTCAGAGTCCAAGCCTCAGTGCCTTGCTGAGTGCAGCCCTCTGAGGCATCTCCAGMGCAAACCACTCAGCTGCAGGAGTTGCCAGATAACCCAGTGCATATCTGCAGCCTCCAGGTGGGCATGAGAAATGTGAATGTGCCACAGATCAAGAGCTGTGTCAACAAGGTACTCTGAGAGACCAGTCCCTCACACCGACTGCTCCCTGTGCCAGCACCGCTACTGGGGGGCCTCATCTTCCGCTCTGTGTACACTGTTTTTTGGATGCTGGGGTTCAARGACCGTGGGCACAGTCCCAGCTGGAGAGGGGAAATGGAGCTGGGCACAGGATCAGGGAGGCCAGAGAAAACGGACGCCTCCCCTGGCACAGCCATGCTCCAGCCAYGAAGCTGCAAAAGTCAAAGCCAGGATGGGGTGGAGCAGCCTCGAGGGAGCCATGAAACAACCCGGCCGGAGCCTTGCAGGAGCTAAAAAAATCAAAAGCAGCCGAAGCACCGAGGAACTCCCGGGGTTGTGTGTTGGCCCTTGCGAGACAAGGATGGAGCAATAGCCGGTTGGGTCCACCAGCTCCTCCTAAGCCTTGAGGCCTCAGGCAAAACTCWTGGAAAGCAAAGACTCCTGCAGACCTCCCCAGCAGCTGGGGGCTGGCCCTGCCCCTGGTCCTGCTAGGAAGTCTGGGGAGCTGCCAGCTGGCCTGGGCACCCTGCGTGACAGTGGCTTTTGCAAAACCAAGCCGGGCCAYGGCAGCTGGTCCATCCCTGGAGACCTTTGCAGGGCTGTTGCAGCACAGCTGTTGTGAGCTCTGTCGCAACAGCGGCACAGCACTGGGATAGGCCACGATGGAGACCCTTCACAACAGCCCCTTCTGGTTTTCCCTGTCTATTTTTGCAGGAAGGCAAGGGCTGAACTGCACCTTTCATGGTGTCACTCATGCCCATGCCAACGTCTATCAGAAAGGGCTGGTGGTGTGCCTGGGACTATTGATCTGCCCAGGATGAAAGCTTTCTGTCCCAAAGGAAGGGGATGGTGAAAGCACAGGAAAGCGAAGGAAACAGCTGGAAAGGCACAGCCATGCCGGCCCGGGGGCTCCAGGGATGCTGTGCCAGCCCCATTGCCTCACAAGCTCTCCTGTGAGGACATCCACACCCTTTATGCTGCCAGCAGGATGGCAAGCAGCAGCCCTGAGCCCTGCCAGGGGCACCCCAACGTGGGATGAAACTTAGCTACAGCTGAGCCCAACACTGGTCAAAGTCAGTGAGTCACAACAGCCTCCCCAAACTGCTGCAGACATGACAGTCCACCAAAGTCAGAAGCTTTTCCCATCCCTTCTTCCCCTCCCTCAGTGTGTTGTCAGCACTGGCTTCTCAGCAAGGGTTGGCATCCCTTGTTTTCACTTTAGGAGATGAAATAAACCAGAACACTCCCAAAAGATCTTCCTTCCACCACCGGGATTTCATTAGATGAAGGAGCCCTGAACTTTTCCACCTCTCCCTATACGGCAATCTCTGCGGGTCCATAGCGATTTTCATTAGGCAGTTTCTATTTCGGCCATCTCCATACTGAGAGGAATGGACTAGAGCAGAGCAGTCTCTGGGGAGCCCCAGGCTGATTTCCAGAGTTCTTTCAGCATTCTCCCTCCTCCTGGTTGGAGTCTTGCCTGTGTGCAGGTCATTGCTACCTGTGTGGGCCAGCCCCACGTCTGACCACGTCAGGTCTCCTGAGGTCCCTGGCTGTCCTCTCCAAAAGTATCTTTAGGAAACGTGTACCAGCAGGTGGATGTGATCTCCCCCTGGGCATTCCCTTCCAAAATTCCCCATAAGCTTTTTCAKCAACGATCAATGCCCACTGGTGCAAGCCCAAGCTGTGCTGATCAGATACGAGCAATGAGACTACAGTGAACAGTCCTGGTAAGATGGAGATGAATCAGGTCTTGACAGATYTCTTGTCCCTCTTCCCCTGAACCCTTGCCCACCCAAACACCAGAGCAGGAGGAGGTATTTGTTAACTTTTTTCTTTTCCCACATCCCAGACTTGTACCGCTAAAGAGAAGGAACTGCACCTTCCAGCCCAGACATTCATCTGTACCGGAGAATTYGGCAGAATTTGGCAGATGCTACCGGAGAATTTGGCAAGGGCTATGGGTGCTGTGACCTTTCCAAAGAGCCCAAAGCTCACCCCATCCCAATCCCATGCCAGGATGACTCCAAGACCTGGGAAGCAGCCAAACTTGAGAGATAATTCCTATTAACATGTTGATCCCTGACACTGCAAGCCGGTTTCCAATCCCCTGAGGAATTWTCCTTTTTCCATGGAAGTGGTCCATGGGAATCTGGCTGTTGGAGAAGACTCAGTYGCAACTGGAAGGCATCTGTGCCCTTCCCCACCCCCACCCTCACAACCTGGGTGGGAGCAGAAGACCATCACTGGGAGGTGAAAAGAGATTTGCTGGTAGGAACTTGGGTCACAAGGTCACAAAATCCCCGGCCAGAGAGATTTGGTGWTTTTCACACATGAGATGCTGCTGTAACCACAGGAACACTTAGAAAAAACCAAAAACTCTCTAAACATCCCAGCAGGCCACCTCAGACATCCCAGGGCTAATCCCTGATGCTGGCATTGTATCAGCATCCCAAATGCTGCTGAAGCCCCAGTGTTGTGGAAGAGCTCCCATACCATGCACACTCTGTCCTCAGCTGTATTTTGGGCCACCCTCTTTCATGCCTACACAAGAGGAGGGGAAACAAGCTGTGAAAGATGCTGAAACTTTCCAAAGGGAGAAAAGCAGAGACACAAGCCGGCACCTGCCCCCTCCTGCGGGAAGCATCTCGCAAGGGGTTTTCCTCCAGAGCCAAACCCGCGGGAAAAGAAGGAGGCAAGAATCCTTTGGCTTGCTTAACCTAACGAGGAAGCTATAAATACAGCAGGGTAAACAGCAGYGAGGGAGAAGAGGTCTTGAACTAAAAGCACAATGTTGGCACAAACCCACAGGGGAATAAGCTCTCCAGGAACACATTCGGCAGGAAACCGGAGGGAGGTTGGGGCCTGTGTGAGCAGGAAGAGTCAGAGTTGCCTTTGAACCAAGAGCAGAGTGGAGGGAAAGGGTTTGAACTGAGTGCTCAGCTAGGTCATGGCAGGTGAAGATGCCTTGCACTGTCGCCATTCCTGAGGCTTTCCCCACTCAGGATGGTCCAGGTGAGGAGAGCGGGGGAGGCAGGACCCCTTGATGGGTGGGCTGCAGGTGTGGGCTGCCTGAGTGCCCACCCAGCACCACAGCTTCTGATAAACCCAGCAGCTGCAAAGGGGAGCTGCTGCTGCTGCTGCTGCTGCCACGATGAAAACGGCGGGGAGACTCGCCGTGCCGTGAGTCATTCATTCATCCTTCACAAACAGGGCCTGCGCTTGGCCAAGCATCCTCCTCCCCCCGCCGCTGGGACAGGGAAAAAGTGGCTTATTAGATACAATCAAGTCAAGTTTTCCCCTCCCTGTGAGGTTCCTCTTCCTGGAATAGGAAGCRTGAGACCAGAACTGCTTTTCTTCCACCTTCCTGCGGGCTCTGCCTTCAGCTGCACCCTTAAAGAGCGGTCTCCACGACCCTACTGAACCCCACATTCCCTGTTCACCTGTCGCTAGTGACATCCAGCCCTGAGCACAGCCCTGCTCTCACCAGTTAGACCCTGTCCCCCATCTCCAGTCTGCCAAGGGCAGTTTGCAGCTCTCTGGAGAGCACATATTGCCCCTTTCATTTCCCCTCACAAAGTGCCAGGTTGGTGGGGCAGAGGGTSCGTGTGTGATAAGGGGGCATTGTGGTCATATCTCATCCCTTCCAGCAGCTCACAGCTCCYTGTGAACCTCCTCTCCCTGTGCCAGGCTGAGATGCCATGTGCTCCATGCCACTGCACACACAACCCCACTGCAACCTGCCTTCCTACGGAGAAGGCAGAGCCACCTCCTCCTGCAAACATGACAGCCAGACATGGGACAGTCACCTCCTGGCACACAAGGCACTTGGCCAGCCCCAGACATCTCAGCTTTGGCCATGCCATCMGTGCCAGTCAATCCAACACAACATTGTGCAGGCCAACATATCAGTGAGCGGCTGCAGCTCTGGAATTCTTGCCATCCATGGGGACCAGGCACAARGCATCCTCAGACCCCATCACAGTGAGGTCTCAGTTTGCTGATGCTGATGTCCGAGCCAAGCTCAGCCTCGTGTTCCCCTGTGATGGCCTTCGCCAGCCCAGTGCCTGGAGGGGACCTGGTGGGTGAGCCGGCCTGAGAGGGTGGTGGCGGGCACAGCCCAGGGCTGGGCACTCATGGGGGCTGTCACAGCACAGAGAAGTTGGGACTGGGACCATCCCAGGGCAAGGAGGGACAAGGCAGGCAGAGCCCTGCCAGCGCCCGCGCATGGGAAAGCGCCTCTCTCAGCGCCTCTCCTAATTGGGAGCAGCTTTTCCCTGGACCCCCCAGGAGAAGAGGGGGCCCTGCCAGGGGGGCGCTTTGCCTGGTATTCCAGGCTTTCTCCAGAAAACTCCCTTCAGAGACAGTACGMGCGTCCAAATCGGGAATGGGGGCTGTGGAGGCTGGGGAAGGGGCTCAAACATCCCACCCCAGGCACATCAAACCCCCGAGCATCTCCAGGCAAGGCGGAGGCGGGGAGGGCGGAGGAGGGGGAGCAGCCCCGGGTACCCACAGGCAGCCGGGAGGGACCGGGAGGGCAAGTCGCTGGCAGCTGCTTTGCGAGGGGACACAGGCACACAGACATACACACACACCCGCACAACTTTCTCCGCCCGGGCAGCAAAGAGCTCCGGGAGCCGCCTGACCGCAGCCGCGCGTCCCTCACCGCCAAGCCGGGGCGGCGGCGACTCGGGGACCGGGGGACTGTTCCCTACCTTCCTGCGTGGCGCCGCGGCTATGTGTCCATGGCGCTAGCGGGAGCCGGGCCGGGAGCGGGAGCGGGAGCGGGRSCGGGAGCGGGGCGCCCGTACCGGGCTGGCTGGGGCCGGTAGCGCAGGCGGTGCGAAGCCGCCGGGGCTGCCGCCGACGCTCCATTGGAGCAGGGCTCTGCCAATCTGCCGCCGCCACCCCGGGACGCTTCCTGCCTGTGAGCCGCCCCCCGGGACCGAGAGGGATCCGAACCCGCTGCCCGCCGCCTTCCCGGGGTTGGCGGTGCCTCCCGGGGCTCCCCGTCCCGCTGCGGCCGGAGCGCTGGGATGGGGATCCCACCGTGAGCACTGGTGAGCGGTGCCCTCCGGAGCGCGGGTGTCCCCCAGGGGCTCAGGAACGCCCCAAGAGTGCGCGACACTCCGGGTGCTCTTGGGGGTCAGCACTTCCTGCGTTCACCAAGCGTGCCTGCCCCATCCCTGCATCCTGGAGGAGTGGATGCAGGCAGATCCTGGCTGTGACTCAGTTTCCCTTGCCCCTGGGCGGGGCATTTTTTTGGGGTTTATTATTGTGGTGGTTTATTTGATGGGGAACGTGCAGGGTGAAATGTGGCCGCCTGGTTTGGGTCCCTGAGTTGAAGAAAAGTCTCGTTCTTCCCCGCAGCTTGTGGTGAGTGTTTGCATCTCTCCTTTGCAGGACTCATCCACCACCCGACCTGCTTTGCCTTGCAGATGGGTTTGGTTTGCCATTTTATCACAGTGAAAGTTCTCAAGAGGRAAAGGATTTCTTGAAAGTCTGCTACAGGAAGCCAGCTGCTGAAGATCCATTGGGAACTTTCCTGTCTGGTGGCACCTGAGGCCAGATCTGGTTTGGGGTTTCCTCAAATGGTGCCATGGAGGCTGGCACTGCTGGAACCCTGGGATGGACCCAGTGTTTCCCTCCCCACTGATAAGCTGCCTGGGTAGAGATAGTGGCCACACGCTCCTGCAATACTTCCCCTGCTAAAACAGGGCTCTGGAGGCTGACAGAAATGAGCAGGGTCACAGTCTCCCTCTGCAATCCTGCAGTGACAAATCGATCCTTGCCCATCGTATCCTGGCACATCTTTGAACCACACAGTAACAAAAGACTACTTGCTGCTGTCCTGTCCTATCTCTTCAACATCACAAAACAAACCCATGAGCTACCCCACCTCCTGTGCATCCCTATGATAATAAACTGGTGCCTTCCTTCATCCCAGCTCGCCCCTGCATCCCCACCATATCAGGTGATGGGAGGGGTGGAGGCCGTGTGTAGGGTGAGCACTGCCTGTACCAGGTCCTGGTTGCCCTGTGTTGTGCTCAGCCATGGTTGAGGCTTGGTGCCCAAGGAAAAACCCAGTGTGGCACATCTGCTCATGACTGAGGCTACTGCCTCACCAGCCACATGTGGCCAGTTCCATCCTGCCTGTGCTACAGGAGCTGGGGCTGTGCCAAGGCTGGGGGTGTCCCTCCTTGAGTCAGCTCACGTGCTTTGCAGGTGGGTCTGGTTCCACCAGCCTGCTCACATCTGCCCTCAGCTAGTGGCTCATGTGGATTTTAGGAGCCTGGGGATGTAGGAGGGGCTGGTCCTGAAAAGTGAGAGGCTTCCTCCATCCAGCTTCTCGCTTTCCCCTTCCTGCCTCTGATACTGCTCTGCTCTCTGCATCCCCTGTGAGCTGAGGGACTCCGAGCATCTTCCAGGGTTGGCCAGCTCTGGAAGGAGCGGAGTTGGACGGGCTGCAGCACGCATTTGGCCCTGGGTCGTCCCCCGGGAGCAGCCCCGGAGCTTTCCTCAATGCCTCGTGGCTCTCGCAGCGCACGGGGAGCTGGGCTGCTTGGCGCCAGCGCTGGCCCAGAGCCACACGCTGCTTTCTCCGCCGCTGCAGTGCTGGAGAGCTGAGCTGCGCCGAGGATCTGGGGAATCCTCCAGCTCTCAGGGCTGGGGCCACCCTTGGGGGTGGGGATCTGAGAGCAGAACTTGATTTGGAGGGGTCTCTGCGCAGRGTGTTGGAGCTGGCCCCGTCAGAGGTGTGCTGGGAGGAGGGATGTAGCGGGGATCTGGACTGTGCTGGGCCAGCTCTGAGCAAAGCTAGGGAGCTGCAGTGCTGGGTGAAGGAGGAGGTTTGACAGTGATGTGAGCTCTGCTGGATGGGCAGGGTGCTTGATGGGGTCCTTGATGTAGGACACTCTTGGCACAGGGCAGCTCTGACACTGCAGCTCTTCCCCTGCTCCATCCTCAGGCTCAGACAAGGATCGTGTGCTCCACACACCTCCCAGCTCCTCTCTGCCGTGGCACAAAGGTTTCCAAAAGGACTTGTTCCAGCTCCTCCTTTCTGCCATGTCAAAAGGACATGTTCAGGCTGTCTGCAGCATTCTGTCCAACACCTGGTTTCTGTCTCAGCAGTCCAAAAGGAMTGATTTTAGGAATCATAGGGTCTCTCTTCCTTTTCGCTCTCCTCTGAGCAGAGAGGAAGCTGACAGCTTTTGTCCAGGCAGATGGACACGTGAGCAGATGTCTGAGGGTTGTTTTACACCCCCACAAACACATGCAGGACAAACTGAACTGGGTTGTAAGACCTGTGTGCTGYCCCCCCTCCCTGTCCGCAACTTTGCTGGACTCGCTGCTGCTACGTGCTCAAAGGTGTCCTGAGCCCTTTTCCAGGAGGAAACAGTCACATCCATGAGCTGGGCTCCCGTGTGCTGGGTTAGGAGAAATCAGGAAGGCTCTTGAGCTTGAGAGCTGGAACTGGGCCAGACTTGAAGTGAGATGTGTCATGCTGATGTGCAGGTGCCCTCTCATGATGATGTGCTGAGGGATGGAGATGCTTGTCCTCAGCTGTGCTGGATGAGTTTGCTGGATTTCTGCCTGGATGATGTGTGGGGAGCAGATGGATGGATGGAAGAGGACAGTGGGGACTGGAGATGAGCACATCTGAAATCCGTGGTGTCCTCTCACGGTTTCTGTGCAGAGGGAACTGCCACAGGATGTGTCTCTTGATGTGCAAGTCTGGCCAGTGCTGCCTGTCTGATGATGGTCCACAACCCTGCAGCCTGGGCAAGGATGGGGCACACACACGCTGTCCCTGACATCCCAGAGTCATGGGTGACACTGCAGAGGTGCAGGTGCCTGCTGGATGCAGGGCATCTTGGGGCAATGGGGCAGTGCCCTTTTAGTACCAGCCTATTTTCCTTGTGTGGGACTTGCCCTGCGAAGCTCCTGCTCAGCGGCTTTGCTCCGCTGGCTTGGGCCGTGTCCAGGCTCTGTCTGACGTGCTGTGGGCATGGCCCCGTCTGAAGTGCAGGCTTGTTGTGTGTTTACCCTGGCCAGCCTGAGGTGTACAGGAAACCAGAGAGCTCTGCTCCCTGGCTGTCACTTTATTTATTATGGTCACAGCTTGGGCTGCCCACACTGTGAAATGAAGGTAGCAAAAACCCCAAGYGCTGCAGCGCAGCTCCTGCCCTGCCAGCCCTGCTCTGCTCTGATTCWCGCTGGAGCTGGGAGCAGTCCTGTCCCGGAGCGAGATGGCAGGATGCTTAGTGCTGTGCAAAGATCATGCCTGCCTGAAAGCAGGGTGGCTTTCTCCAGATGTGTCCAGCCACACTGTGATAGGAGAAATCGCTGAGGGATGCCCAGACCAATGTCACATCAGTCATTGCCTGCACTGACACCTGGATGTCCCARTCTGGTTACACCTTCCCTGGCTCTTCACTTCTGCTCTGTAAAACAGCAGTGAGCGTTGCCCTCGGTCTCCACARCTGCTGCTCCAGGGGTTTTAATCCATCTCTCTCACCCCAAAAGGAAGTGTGGGGAACACTGCCCCGCTGCCACTGCAATGTGCAGAGCCTGAGCTCTCTCTCTGGAGCCCAAATTTTTGTTGCCTATGGCCAGCAGCTTCCCACAGCCTGTTTCATCTTAGAGGGGACACCACGGTGGTGACTCTGGTTKCTTTAAGGGTGGAGTTGAAAGTTGGGACACTGCTGAGGACTGGKAACCCCTCTCTATGGGGCTGGGAATTGGTGCCTGTGTGGGGACTGGAGCCATCCCAGCTGCTCCCACCCCTGTGCACTGCAAGCACCTCGGAGGCACCAAGCAAAGCCCCACATGCTGTGGGACTCATGCAAACTCTCAGCTGAAGGGAGAAGCAGAGAGAGACGATTTATACACATGGCTATTTATAGGGACTGCCCTCCTGCCAGGACCTGACTGGCAGCAGCAAGGGCTGGGCTGGCGTTTGGGGAGCTCAGTCCAAAACCACCAGCCAGCAACCTGAGGATATGAAACAAAACCTCCCAGCRCTCAGAGGGCTCCTGGTCCCCACAGGGTCACATGGCTTGCTGGMTTGCATTGCTATTAAAGGGAGAAAGTGCTAGTGAGCTGATAAACAGGGGAAGGTGAGCCAGCTCCCGAAACCATGGGCAACTTGGCAGCCCTCCTCCCAGAACACACAGCCGGGTGCTGGAGCCTACTAAGTGGGACTAAACACTTGGTCTGAAGTTTTGACACAGTGTTTTGAATCACAGAGAGTTTAATCTATGAAGGGCCTTTTAAGGAGGATTTTAAGAGCTTGATATTAGTTTTGTTGTGCTTAGGCATYTTAAGTTTCTTTGTTTTTCACCAAAATAAAGTCCAGGCTGAGATTCACTGAAGGACCAGTCAATATTTGAGTCTGACTTTCTGAAGGCATTACATTTATAGGATGAGATGGCAAGCAAAAACCATCTAACTATCCAAAACCAACCCAGAGATGTGAAACATGAGAATTTATTTGCGAAGAAGAAACGGGAATGTTCTGAAGGGTGRACTTCTCTCCTGGCTCTGGGCTCTCCTGGCTGCCTGGTGCCAGCCCTCAGCACCTGGATGCTGCCAGAAGCCACCTCCTGGGCATTGCACAAGGAGACCCTGCCCGTGGGTGAGGCGTGGCTGCTTCYCAAAGCCATCAGTGACTGTCTGCAGGCTTTCTTTTCATTGCTCAGAGCCAGGGATATACCAGTCACGKTCCAGCTCCTCGGTATCATGGCAGAATAACTCTGCATCTCTCCAGCAAATCTCGGTAGAGCTRAGATGCTGCTATTCCTGGGACACCCTACTTCTTGCCTGGAAATAATT